AGAAGGGAAATACGACTATCTTGAGTGTACAGACTTCCTTTTTATGAAATAAAAGGCGGTGTGGGTGGTATAAAATCTGTAAGAAAATTTATCACTAACATTTAAATTTATTTCAAAGATAATGGTTACTTGCCCTTCTTTCTATGTTCTTTTATTCTTTAGATATCCAATTTCCTAAAAGGATTGGACTAAAGAAAATCAAATGTATATTCTTATCAAGTTCATCTTCTATACAGTTCAATTATTGGACATTCTATTTCTTGTCTTCTGAGTTTTGATGATAAGGTTTATTGTAACACCCATGTAACACCCATAGCCAATCATATGAATGGAGGGTACTTTTGGCAATGAGGAAGGTATGATATGATTTTTTTTAAGAGGCTCTGTTTCAAACACCAACAACTATTTTACTCAAGCAGTCACAGAAATATTTTCCCATGCCCTGAATTTAAATATTCTATTACACTCTTTTGAGCCATCAGGGACTTTCGCTCTTTTCATCCATAAAAAGTTTATGCTAATCTTGTCTATCTTCTTTTACATGTTAGGTTCCAAGCAAGGCCAACAATAATTAATATAAATTAAGAATGCTGGCATGGAAAGCTGTTCCTTATCAATTTGTCACACTGTAAATGTGCTGCACAGACTCACAATAGATTAACTTCAAAGTCCAGTAAAGTGGTCTTGAAAGAGGCCAAATATATTTGGATAACACTCAGTGACATCTACTGCTATGAACAGGTCTAAAGCTGTCTGTCATATGCCAAGAATGCAAATGAAATTTGTCTTCAGTGTTATAAGATTTCTGAGATGCTGTAAAAGAATCACATCTTATTTAGAACTTCTGGCCTGGAAAAGACTCGCATTTCTCTCAAAGTCAAGGTCATTAATTAAGGTCCGTGCTGTCCAATATAGTTGCCACTAACCACAGATAGCTATTGATCCCTTGAAATAGGAATAGTCTCAGATGTCCTGGAAGTGTAAAATATACACTGGATTTCAAAGATTAATTATAAAAAGAAATGTATACTATCTCATTAATATTTTTACATGTTCCATTTAAAAACTAATTTTTAGGATTAATTACATGTTAAAATTATAATAGTTTGCATATACTGGGGCTGGGTAAAATATATTACTAAAATTAATTTCACCATTTTTGTGTTTTGAAATATGGCCACCTGAAAACTTTAAATTACAGATTCTGACTCATTACACTGTATTTCCGTTGGGCAGTGCTGCTTTAGGCTGTACCCCAGTTTTTAGGTAAGCCACAAGGGGGCAGTCAAGTGTGGTGATAACAGGCAAGGGTATTGGGTCAGACAGATCTAGGTTCAATTCCCAGGTCTTCTATTTTCTCGTTAAGAGACCATAGCACATGGTCTCTACTACATGGTTACTACTACAACCTAAACTGCTCATATCTAAAGAGATAACTTGGGTTGTTAGAATGAGCATTAAGTTCTATATTACAAAAAAGGCACAGCTTTTAAAAGTTAACTATCTAAATGAGATAAATGTGGTATAAATCTTAAATAGTAAAATGGATCAAATCACACCAAATTTATAATTTATAATATTCTTACCTCTTTTTGCCTTTGACTCATTGTTACTTAGGAGAAATATGCTAAGGAAAGCAAAAGTAAAACTCGGAATTGCCTAAATGTGGATTAGCTCTGCTGTTTTCTGAGTCACCTCTCTGGGCTACTGAGGGATACAGTGTAAACAGCCTTTACTGTTTGCTTAAGAAAAACAGGAAGGACCTTCCTCTCAAAAGGCAATCATACACCATTAAATAGCTAAATATTAAGTAATCTGGGGGTAGAAGAGCTATTTGAGCAGCATGGGTAACGGAAAAAGAACAGGACAGAAGTCCAAGGGCAGGAATTCAATCTTGGGCCTGCCAGGGTCAGAAGCGATCTCTAAGCCTTGGTTTTCTAACCTATAAAATGGGGATGAGGGTAATAATATCTCTCACAATAGATTGTTGTAAATATTAAACAATGGATATAAAGCCACTTATCTGTAAAATGGAAAGTATTACATAAATGTTAGCTATTATGATGATTTTATTCCACTGGGTTCTAAGACTAATCTGCACAGATGTAGCCACTTTGCTCTCTGTTCTAATGTAAAAGAGTAGAAGATAAACAGGATGGCTTTGTACAGACATTTAACCTCCTAGGACCCTGGATCCCTCTTTTCCATCAACTTTAATCATTGGGAGGGCTTCATTAAAAAAACAACAACACACACACAAAAAACCCCACTCAGGAAACCACAGTCTTATACAAATGTAAAGCATTATTGTTGGTTTGGATAATCATCAGGAGTTGATTTTACCGAAAGAGAAACAATCCTATGTTAGGTATCCCAGGAGTCCCTCCCACTGTGAAAAGTAGTCACTGCGTACTCCAAAAAACATTTCCTTGTATTTTTAACTCACATATACTAATTCAAGATAATAGTCAGTGGCAATCAGATGTGAATTGAAAAAGGAAGGTTAGAGTGTACATCTTTTGTTCAGGTCTTGACACGGTGAAATTTAAAAGCATCTCTGCCATCATTTTTAAGTAGAGGCACATTCAGCACAATATGATAATCAGAGCTGCAGGATATCATTCCTCACAGGAGCCATCACTTCATATACAGGCTTTCAGAGCTGGCTTTTTGGGAAAAAAATACTCATCTACATGATTTTTCAATTCATATAACCCAGAAGACACTGACAGGTTTGTCCCCAGACATGAAATTATTTGAGCCCTAAGTTAGGACATATATAGATGTAAAAGCGACCTTGAAAAATGAGTCCTTAGAACTTCACTAAAGAAATAACTGACAAATTTCAGAGGGAAGGCAGGGGTGGCGGAGTATGTGGGGGAGAGACTTCTCAAAGAATTTACTGGCATATATGCATAACCCAAGGACACAAACAATA